AAGTCCACAAAAACTATTAACGTTTTCAGGCTTCAAGCTGCTTTCACGACCGCCTTTTACCATAAAGAACTACTATGATCAGTAATGATTCAAAATATCTTGTTTCCAACCATTTCGTAACTGTTCCTAATTTAAGATTTAGCTTAAAATTAAGATCATTAAAATAAATTGGGGAGATCTCTTGTAAGCTAATGATGTAGATTAGTTTGACGCTGCTTCCCACTTTTACAGAAAGTGCTATATTTCTAAATTGTAAGTTCTAAACGTGGTCTTATTTCTCCACTATGGCTTGAACAGATTTTTTTTTTAACTCAGATCTACTCCGAATATCTAGTCTGGTTAGCGTACAGCTTGGATTCTGTAACGCTTCACTTAGACTGGTAACACCGGTATCCGTGATGTCATTATAACTCAGATTTAGTGTGGTTAGCTCACAGCTTGGATGCTGTAAAGCTTCATATAGATTGGCAACGCCGGTATCAGTGATGTCATTATAACTCAGATCTAGTGTGGTTAGCTTACAGCTTGGATGCTGTAAAGCTTCATATAGATTGGCAACACCGGTATCAGTGATGTCATTAGAACTCAGATCTAGTGTGGTTAGCTTACAGCCTGGATGCTGGAAAGCTTCACATAGACTGGCAACACCAGTACTAGTGATCTCATTATCACTCAGATTTAGTGTGGTTAGCTTACAGCTTGGATGCTGTAAAGCTTCACATAGACTGGCAACACCGGTATCAGTGATTTTATTATAACTCAGTATTAGTGTGGTTAGCTTACAGCTTGGATGCTGTAAAGCTTCACACAGACTGGCAACACCGGTATTACTTACGACTGATCCTCCTATAATCAATTGAGACACAAGAGAGTGTTCATTGATCAGTGAATTACGGACTCGTTGCATTCCAGACATTGTTAGTTGGGAATGAAAAAGTCTCAAATCCTTAACTGGGACGAGGTTATCAGAATATTTTTTTTTTTTTTGGTGTGTGTTTTGCCTCTCCAGCTTTCTCTTTGTTTAGTTCACTGATAATGTCCAATACAAATGATACTGCAATGCTGTCTATATCTGATAAACCATCAAAATACATGATGCCGTGTGAACTACTGAACGCTTGCGGATGATTCCTAATAAACGTTTTAGCGAATTGTTTGTCTTGGTACTCACTCAGACACTTTGCTCTGAGAAATCTAGTATTATTCCGTGAAACTTGTCTACTGGTCAACAACTTTTTCATCAGTTCCTCTTTTCCCTCACTTGACAAAATGCCAGCCATGAATTGGTAAACCAAATCAGTCCATATCTGGACTGGAATACTATTTTCCTTTACAAACCAATGGGCGGCTAAGAATTCTTGGACAGTGAGATGTGTGAAGCTGAAGTGTTTCGTGGTTCTGATCGAACCAGTCCT